TTTTTTTTTTTTAAATATATCTTTATTGATTTCAGAGAAAGGAAAGAAGAGGGAGAAAGAGAGATAGAAACATCAATGATGAGAGAGTCACTGATCAAGCCCACAACCCGGGCATGTGCCCTGACCGGGAATCGAACTCCGATCACCTGGATCCTAGGTTGATGCTCAACCGCTGAGCCACACCCGGCTGGGCAGGAAAAAAAGTTTTAAATAAACAAATAAAGAGACCCAAATAAAGAAATGAAAATATTGTGTGTGACATGAGTAGTCTTCCGAAAGGTGACAGGAAACTGGATTATCATTTGGGGGGATATTACCATGTAAATTTAGCCTTGTACCATACATCCAAACAAATTCCAAATGGATCTAAGTTTAAATGTGAAAAGCAAAACTATTAAGAAGCATTAGGAAATATTAAAAAATAAGAATTGATCTGATTTCAGGGTGGGGAAGGCGTTTCTTGGCATAAACAGAGGCAGAAACCATAAAAGAATCAATAGAATTGATCACATGAAAATCTAAAATGTCTAAATGTCAAAAAGAATATTGAAAAGAAAATTAAAGTGTAAATAACCCGGGGGGTTGTGATAGGTAGAACAAAAGATTAATATCATTAATTTAGGCAAACTATTAAAATCAATAATAAGAAGAAGGTAATGTAGGTGAAAATGTGTTAAAATTCCTCTAACCCCACCCCCCAAAAAAAACTCAAAGAACCAGAAACAGAAGAAAAATTTATTTGCACTAAAGCCAAACAGAAGTCCTAACTTTATATTATATAAAGTTCAAGTAAATGCAAGGAATTAATACACATAAATAAAGACACCATGATGATTCTTTTTTTAACCCTTGGCACCACCCCAGGGAGATCATGCTACTCACTCCAGGCAGGATCAATGGAAATTGATGGCAATGGAAACACCGGTCGCTTACACCATAAGTTATTAGGTATCACATCTCCCCTATGAATCAAGTTAGGAGCCTTGGCCTCCCAGGAAGAAAGAACAGTTTTCTTTTCATCTCTGTATCTCCTTCAGCACTTAGCCCTGGTCTTTGTACATAACCAATCAATAAATATCCACTGAATTAAATTGTTAAGTTGCAGCGTGCCTCTCCCCCACTCCTATGCCACACAGAAGCCCTGGCTGCAGGTTCCCAGGAGTTCCCATCAGTCAGATTTAGTTTAATGGAAGGCACTCAGCAGGAAAATTCCATCCACGTTTCTTCTGGGAATTCAGCTGCTGCCTTTTCCAGGGCCAACCCCCTTCCTTGCCTAACATTTCTAGTAAAATGCAAAAGCCTATGATTTTTCTGAAACAAAGCTACATCTTCGATAACCAGGCGTCCCTCTTCACAAAAACATATATTCTTCTGATATAAAGGAACTTTCCTGATCACGTTCTCTAAAAGCCACCGAACGGATTTCCACCTTACCTGCCCCTCTCACCAGCACCCTCTTCCGTTTTCACTGCCACAGGTGCCCCTGTCCTTCCACATTCCTAGAACTTCCCACCTCCGATGAAGTCAGCAATACGGTAGCCTATTTAAAGCAATGGTTTTCATCCTGTTCCCATGAGTAAGATTTCCTTTAATGTAAGACACTCACGAGGCAGTTCATTCACTTTTCTGCCAGGAAATCAGCTGCTGCATTTTCCAGGCCCAAATTCCTTGCCTAACATTTCTGGTAAAATTCAAAAGTTCAAGATTTTACTAAAATAAAGCCATATCTTAAGGCATCTTCACGTCAATACATAAGGTTCCCTTTTTCTCCCCTTTATAAAATGGACTGGTTTTTGTTTTCTACTCTTTCATGAGATCTTAACAACTTGAACTTTTACACTTTTTTAAAATTGCAAATACTTTAAAGTAGGGCAGAGTTGGAAAATACGCTGTCCTGGTCTCAAGGAACTTAAGCAGCTCAACAGTGCCCCCTGGTGGCCAGAAGCATAAACACGGAATGCTTGAGCGACTAGGGCTCTATCTAACCTACAAAAGGACGTAGGAATAAGTGTCTCATCAAGATGAAACTCACTCCCCCAACTCAAAAAGTATGAAATGCTTATTTGAATCAGCAATGCAAATCATCCAAAACTGACAAGGACCAAACAGTAGGAGACTGCGTAGCTGGTCATTTTAATAAGTCACATAGGAAGGAATGCCCAGCTCAGACGTTACTTTTATTTCCAGCCCCCAATTGTGGTGAATTCTTTGTTTCATTTTGGTCTAAAACTTTTCTTAACTAATCATGCATCGCTTCAAGACCAATACTATCCACTGGCCATTTCTGGGTTGGCCCTTGTATCTATTCATTACAAAAAATATTTCTTTGTTGTGCTGTGTGCTAGCACTTCCCTTACAGGTTGGGGGTTCCATGTAGAACACATAGAGAAAAAGCTCTGCCTCTGAAGAGCTCCTATTTTAGTAGGGGAAGAAGATAAACAAGTAAACTGAAAAAGTGCAATTTCTGAAAACACATACTATGAAGAAATTCAAGCATGGTAAATGGATAGAGAGTGGTTGGAGATGAGGTTATTTATGAAAGGATGGGCAGGGAGCCTCTCTAAGGTTATAGCATTTTAGCAGAGATAGGAATGATTGTAATCTGTCCAACGACAGGTTCTCTTGTACATTTTTAAAAGATTGCTCTGACTATGGTAAAGTTTAAGACTGGGTGGCGGGGGGAGGTGACAGGCAACTGTGAAAGACAAGTTAGAAAGCTACTTCAGTAGTCCAAGCAAAAGGTTGCTGGCTTGGATTAGGTTGCTGGTGGTGAAAGCAAAAGAGAGGAGAAGTGTTTGGATTCAGAATACATTTCGAAAACAAGCCAATGGGGCTTGTTGACGAATTAGAAATGGGTGGGACAGGATTAATCATGACAAACATTGGCCCAAGCAATGGGTGAGTAACAATACCGACAGCTAAGACAGAAAAGCCTGGGTGGAAAATCGATCTGAGAATGAGAAAAGACGTGAGAAATCAAAAGTTCTACTGGGTTTGCCTATTAGATGCTTTACAGGATATGTTTGGGAGAGGGGTGGCTATGCGAGTCTGGAACTCAGAGGAGAGACAAGGACCAGGATACATACTGAAAATCCTCAGCATATAGCTGATATTTATAGCCATGAGGCTGGTAGAGATGACCTGGGCAGAAAGGGCAGATAGTAAAGAAAAAGAGAGGCGGCTGGCAGGATGCAGAGCAGGAGGGCGGGGAGAGGCAGGGGGAGGTGCACCAATAAAAGTAGATGGAGCTATTTCTTTCCTTCTGCTGATTTTTGGCTACACTGGTCTTCTTTTCCAAGTTCTTTAAAATGTTACGTTAGGTTGTTTATTTGGGATTTTTCTTGTTTCTTGAGACAGGCCTGTGATGATATAAATGTCCCTCTTGTTGCTGCTTTTGCTGCACCCAAAAGTTTTGCTACATTGTATTGTCATTCTCATTTGTCTCTATGTATCTTTTATTTCTTCTTTGACCCAGTGGCTCTTTACATCAATGTCATCCCCCCACTTCCTCTCTTTAAAATCAATGAAAACATGTTTTTAATGAGGATTCAAAACAAAACAAAACAAACAATAAGAAATAGCATTGTACACTTGAAACCTATATAATTTTAGTAATCAATGTTACCCCAAAAAAGGTAATAAAATTTTTTTCTAAGCAGATGGAGCTAGCAAAGAAGGCCGAGGAGGAACAGCCAGAAAGGTAGGAGGGTCCAAAGCCAAGACAGAAGGTGTCCTAAGAAGGAGGGAAAGTCCAATGCTGTAGGAAAAAAGTCAGAAAACAAAGTTGGCCAGTGGATTCTCAAAGATGGGGGCCCCTTCCGCGAAGCAGTGGAGGCAGATGCTTCCCCCCTGGAACCTCCCAGTTAAAGGGGGACAGGAGGCGAGGGCGTGGAGCCTGCGCAGCACACGCTCCTTTCTGCAGAGCGGGGCTGAGAGAACACAGGTCAAAGGAAGCGTCTATTTTTCCTTGTTGTCATTAAAAAAGGAGCGCCTACAACATGCTCGAGCAGTATTGAGACAAATTCTATCGTGGGGGCTAAGCGACGCTTAGGCAAGAAGGGATGGGATCCGGTGCGCCAGCTTGGGGAGGGGGCTGTTGCCTTAGGAGTGGGGCCCAGAGAGAAGACAAAATACACGCTCCTGCATGCAGGTAGCAACAGGAGATTTAGGAGGGACAAGTCCTCGCCTGATGACTTCTAATTTCTCAGTGAAATAAAAAAACAAGAGGCCCATGTTCTAGGTGTTAACTCCCAGTGTGCGGGGGGAGGGCTGTGGCAGATGTGAGAAGGGACAGGAAAACGAGTGGAAAGTGAATCGGCTAGGGACTAGAGAGGGAGTGCCAACCATCTGTCCCCCCGAGAAACCGATTCTTGAGGCACTTGCAACAGACTCACAATGAAGTATGTTGCTGAGAAAGGAATGGTCATAGGAAGAGATTCTTTTTAAGTATGAAATATTTTAAATATCCAGAAGGAATTTAACCAATACTCATGCACACACTACCCAAGGTTCAACCGATGGTAACGTTTTGTTTCAGATATCTTTGTAAGAAATAGAACAGTCACTGCCACAGGCCCCTTCATCGCCCTCTGCAATTCCATGTTCTTCTTTCCCTCTCTCTCAAAGTTCATTATGTAATGATAAAAAGAATAGAGTTCCTCTTTATCCAGGCCTAGCCACAGCTCCGTGGTGACTTTGTTCACCCAAATGCTTTTATTTGAGATTACCTGTTATCTGGGTTGTCAGGGAGATGACCACGGGAAGGGCAGAAGACCAAGCCCAAACGCTGACACTGTAGTTGGTACCCGGACGCAGGTCCAAGCACACCTCGGGAGCCTGGCTGCTGCTAGTGATGTTAAAGGTGATTTCCTGGGCAAACTCCTTCTGATACCATCTCTGGCCCTGAATGTGGAGCTTAAACACAGAGAAGTTCACCAGGTGAATCGCCAGCTTGAAGGTCTCTGAATGCCTAGACCCTTACCTTTCTCATGAACTCTCTCGCCCTTGACTCTAAAGTTCCTTCAAAAAGTGAGATACAACCATAAGGAAAGACTAGAGTTATAATACCACAAATATTGTAGTTACAATATCATCAGTATGATAAATATATTTTTATATCAAAATGCCTGATACTAGCAACTTTCTTGTTCCCACACATATGATGCACAGGCCCCATGTGGAAGTCTCCTGGGCCCTGGCCGGTGTGGCTCAGTTGGTTGAGCACTGTCCCACGCACCAAAAGGTCACCGGTTCGATTCCCAGTCGGGGCACATGCCCAAGTTGCAGGCTCAATGTCGGGGGCCTGCAGGAGGCAGCCAATTGACATTGATGTTTCTTTCTCTCTCTCTCCCTCTCCCTTCCTCTCTCCCTAAAATCAATTTTTAAAAAGCCTATTGGCAAAACTTTAGGAGCAAGGCCAAAGAACATTTTCCTAGAAAGAAAATTAAGAATCTGAAGTAAAGCTTCTGCAAAGCAGGACACGAATTAGGATACTCTTAGCTGGTCTGGTGAAACCTGACCAGCTCATCCCACGGTCCTTCCCTTTCTTACTGATAATCACATCTAGCTTCAAAAGGTCCCCTGGACTCTCTCGGCAACACATTCAGACCCTTGTCAGGGACACTGGTGTGGAGAGATACACATGCAAAAGCCTTTGGATTCCTCCACGGATCCTGCCTCAACATCAACCCTGCACCAGGCTATCAAAAAACTCTCCTGGTTTTCTCATCAGTCCCCAAGGTCTCTGCAGTCAAAAATGCAGCAGATGTGCCCGTTTTATTGCTTCTGATTGTAATTGTCACTATAATTCTTCTATTGATAATGGCAGCTACATATAAGTAGATTTTTAGGTGTGTTGATATTTTTTAAACCTCCCACACAACACAAACACCCATCAACAGAGTAACTTTCAGTAACTTACTAAATACATTTCCTCTATATCAGCTATCTTCATATTTCTCCATCTCAAGCAGGTTTCATTAAATATTGAGATGTTGCTGATGGTCTGTTTAACTGCAGGGGGAAAATAAAGAGAAATCAATCGACTATACAAAAATATTACCTTTTCATTAAAACATTTTCCAAGGATAAGCATTTACATAGGATGAGTTCATCAGTATTTTAATTTCCAAATGAGTGGTAGTAGTACATTTTTATATTTACGTAAACTCAGTCCTAATGAAAGGTGTAAGATTACAAGATGTCCAATCAGGAGATCCCTCTTAAAAATTATTTAAATCTATGACCTACCGGTCATAGTGGCTGAGTGTCGACCCATGAACCCAGAGGTCACTGGTTTGATTCCCAGTCAGGGCACATGCCTGGGTTGCGGGCTCCCCAGTAGGGGGCGTGCAGGAGGCAGGCGATTGATGTTTCTCTCATTGATATTTCTATATCTCTATTCCTCTCCCTTCCTCTCTCTCTAAAATTAATAAAAACACTTTTTAAAAAAAAACAAAAAACTGTTGCTTGCTCTTATTTAAAAAATTATTTAAATCTATTCACTGTAAACTCCCTCGGTTTACTTAAGTTAAAACAGCAATTCACTGCACTAGCCTTGGACAATGTCACTTATACAAATAAGCACCAGTTTGCAATTCTGAGCTGAGGGCAACATTTCAGCCCAGAATTGCTGGGTGAGGGACTGAACATCCCTATCTCAAGCCACCAGGCTTTTCATGATGGAAAGGGGGAGGGGTACCTCTTGGTTTGGGCTTCCGCATCTCTTACAGTCAAAGCACCTGTTGGCCTCTGCTCTGTTTCATGGTAATCAATCTACGAGTCAGTTCAGATCTGGTACAGTGTAATACAGAGGCACCTCCCCTCCCAGTTTTTTAAAATAAAGACTACTTTCAAAACTCTGATATCAGAGGTTTACTGCCCTCAACAATTATCCCTGTCCCTAAACTGGAAATAATAGAGCAGACTGGCTAAGAAGTTTCATAGGAACACTGTGGTAATTAAGGAGTGATAAAGACAACTCCCACAGCACCTGGGGGAAAAGTCTCATGGGAGCCAAGCCTTTATTGTGTAAGCCCCTGGCCCAACAGGTTCCTAGAGTGAAGGAGGTTGGTTGGCGTGAGAGTACTTTACCGATGGGGCAGTTTTGCCCAGAGAAAACCTGTTCCACAGGTCACACGCTATACTCTAAATGTTGTCAGACGGAGTAAGTAAGAAAGTATACATGATTCAGGATAATATAACCTCACTCCTGGGTATAGAAGATGATTTTAGAGATAGTAGTAGGGGTCCAAGGAACCTCACACTGATGAAACTTACAAAAATGAAATAACTTCATACTATTTAAACAGTTCCAGACCATACAAAAAGGTGGAAAGTTTCCCAGTTCATTCACTACGACTAGATAATCACATGCCCAAACTGTCCAAGGTTGGCACAACCAATCACTAAACGCACTATGCCAAACTCACTTATTAATATAAGTTTAAAAGTCCGAAATAAAACATTAGCAAGTAGAAGTCAGCAGTACATTCAAAGAACAATGCACTATGATCAAGGGAGATTTATTCCGGGAATACAGAGATGATCGTTACTGGGAAAGCTATTAATAGATTAAAAGAGAAAAAACCATATGGTTATTTTTATAATTATAATGATTAATACATTTAATATACATTCCTGATTAAAAATCTTAGCAAACTAGGATTTAATTCTATAGAAACTCCTTAATTTAAAAGAGTGTTTATTAGAGGCCACCATGCTTATAAAACATACTCAGTAAAACAATGAAGTAATTTCTAGTGAAGTTAACAATACAAAGACGCATGGTCTCATAGCCATTACTTAGCATTAGTCAGAAGATTCTAGACAATCAGAAAGAGGGAAGAAAAAAAAGAGCTATAAATGCCAGTAAGAAAGAGAACAAATGATGCAACTGCCAGTAAATCCAAGAGAATAAAACTGAAAAACAGATATAAAATTGCCAGAAAATGGAAAAACAAATACAAATAATAGGAGTTTGGCAAAGTGCACCCGAACACAAGAACATAGGAAAACTAATCATTTTCTATATAGCTGCAAGAGAAAGTATGGTAGGCTGAATAATGCCCCCCAAAGTTGACCACAACCTGGTCCCTGGAATCTGTGAGCCTGCTACAGCACATGGCCAAAGGACTTGGTCAGTTATCATAAGACAGGGATATTATCCTGGATTAGCCCGATGAGCCCAGTGTAGTGACAAGTGTCCTTATAAGAGGACAGCTCATCCGGGGTCCCTTCCTACCCTGCTCTCTGATCCTTTGCTATGGAAAGTGCATGCCCTGCCTCTCATACAAATATTCCTTCTCTCGTTCATTCTTGGTGGTCGCTCAGCCTTCTCGGTCTCTCCTTTCTCCACCCAGAAGGCCCATCTAATCTAGAATCCTGAAGTTGAAAAAACAGACCTGCAAGAATGCCTCATAGAAGAGAAAATTTAGCTCTTCCTTCATCAAATTCTTTGAAATGTTGTATCTCCTTCATGAATTCGGGCAAGCAATCGTTACTTCCTCTGTACTCCCTTAGTTACATTTTGTGCGTTGTATTCCTGCTGATGCTTACCGATCGCCCCGCTCAGCTGAGAGCTCCTTGAGGGGAGGGACTATGTGTCGCTCACTGTTTACTCCTAGTGTGCAGGACAGCAGCAAGCACAGCATTCCTGGTCATTTCAATGTAAACAATCAGAAATAAGAAAAAGGCTAAGCAACTGATATATTAACCCAGTGGAATAGAGGTGCTCTGAATAAGACATGGTTTCTGTCCTTAATATGTATCTCATCGGGGAGAGGAGTTACGCTGTGTCAGTGTAACAAAAATACAAGGGAGTGCATGACAAATGCCATAAGGCAAATGTAAGTAATAGTTAACATTTGATAGATGCTTATTGCGTGTTAGGTATTGTGCTGGTTCTCCGTAACCCATTTAGTCTCACAACAAACCCATGAAGGAGGTATTTTATTCCCATTTTTACAGCGAAGGCAATTTATGCACAAACACATGAGTGAACTTGAATTTAGAGACCCTGATTCCAAAGTAAGTATGTCAAACTATGACCTGTACTTCCTCCTGAAATAGAGTATGGTAACTCAGAAGGAAGGAAACTTACTTTAGCTGGGCAGCTCGTGGAAGAAGAGACCAAGGGGATATAGAAACTGAAGAAAAGGGAGGGGATTCCAGGTGGGATAAATAGCATGAGCAAAGGTATGGAGGTGGAAAAGAGAGCACTTAAGGATTTGTTATAGATTAGAGTTCCAATTTGTTTGAGGATAGTGGTGGCCCCTTAAATCCAAATCGCTCCACACAATCTCCAAAATATTCTTCAGATCCACAGGAAGAGCAAATAAAACAACATAAACCAAGACTGTCATCATAACTGGAAGGCAGAGGATACTATAAACTTTAAATTACTTTTTAATAGAAAAATAAATACCAAATTCCAGCAAAGCTCTCTCTCAATCTCCCACCTCTCACTCCAGAGCTGAGAGGGTTCTAGAGGAGCACTGTGAAGGAGAAGAGAGACACAAAGGACCCCAGCGTGAGCTAGGCATTTCACTCCCAGAACGGGAAATTCTACCTTAACTGTGAAAGTACCGGAAAAGAGGCTTGGTGTATCAGAGTACTGAGGACAGCAAGGAGGCAAAGTCTGTGAGACTCCGGGTAGTGGTATGAGAAAGGCACTGCTTATGGGGAAGAAGACCATTAAGAGGAAGGACTCGGTGTCCTCAGGGGACTAAGTGGCAATGGGGAAAAGAAGCCAGAGGGAAATGCAAGATCCTACAAGGCAAAAGAGAACCCCAGAGTAGAAGAATACACAAGTCATCCCCACCCTCACCAAACAACAAAAATACCCGTTAAAGAAAATGCACTTCATTCAATGACAGAAGAGGGCACTCTTAACCTAGAAATCTTATTAATCCTATTACATTACCAATTCTGTCTATGGAGTTAATAGACATTAAAAAGAAAAAAATATATAATCAAACCATTTCAGCTTGTGGAAAGCTGCACGTTTTAAAAAAAAACAAAACACAGAAAAAAACACACCACAAACTAGAAAAAAGGGTAACCAAATGAACTGAAATAAGTATCCCCAAATAAGAGGTACAAAGAAAACACAGAAATTAAAAAACTAAGGACAGAAATGAACAAAAAGCAGGGAGGAAAAGAAAAGTGACTGGATTCAAAAAAAGAAATGAAAGGAAAAGACAAATTCATATCAGAAATAAAATCAAAATGTCACGGTGCTCAAAGAGGGATAGATTAGCATAAAAGTTAAATAAGGGGCATTGAAGAAATACAGGGAAACAATTAAAAAGAATTAAAGTGAGATTTTAAAAAGTAAAAATATTTAAAAAGTGGTTGAAATGGGATATAGATAAAGATCCAACATATGTATAATTAAAGAATCTAAAGGAGAAAAACTTTGAGTTAACATTTAAAACTATAATCCAAGATAACTTTACAAAAATTAGAAATATAAATACTGAAAAGGCCCACCAGATACCTGAGAAATCTCACCCAGAGCAACCAATCTAAGTAAAATTATCAGACTTTAAAGATTAAGAAAAATACTAAGCGTCTCCACTCAAAGAAATAAATAACATCCAAAGTCAAAAAAAGTAGGCTGCATCAGACTTCCCAAATGCTAAGTAAAAAGCAAGACTTCCCAAATGCTAAGTAAAATGCTAAGTAAAATTCAGTGCTATTATTACTGAATTTTAAGGAAACTCAAATCAAGACAGTGTGAATCAAGATTTTTATATCTAGCCAAGCAATCTTTCAAGTGTCAAGGCCTCAGGGAAGTTTTAAACACGCAAGAACTCAGGGAACGCTGTACTCTTGAGGTGTCTACTAGGTGATGAGCTTCATCCAAGAGGTAACTAAGGGAACTTCAGCAAAAAGACTGGTGATGGCTATCTGGTATATTAAATTGTAGATTTAAGACAAAATAAAATTGGGACAAGGTAGAAGAAAAAAATATAAATGGTATGTGTTCTGATAAAGTAAAAATAAAGCCA